CAAACACAATGAACTAGATCAGAACATTCCAACCGATAAGCATAAGTACAAGACGTGACCTGGCAGTCCTAAAGCCGTTAGCCACGAAGACGCAAAACAATTTACAAAAGCAGCGTGTCACAAAAGGAAATAGTGATGGATAAGTTAATCAGTAGTGTCGTTTAGGTTAAAGAATGACATCGTTCTAAACAACGAGTGGTTAATCATAGTCATGGGTGACCAAGTCAAACCTAGTCAAGATAAAGGCGAAGAAGAGATAATCAGTGGGAGCAACTGGGCAAGGGATTTCCACGTACCTTGTCCACTGCAACTAGACACTGGAGCAGTTCATACCAGCAAACGAATTGTGGACACCTCTCTGCGTGGGAAAAGACCAAGGCTGCAACCTCCCGTCAGACAATTGTAGGTTTGTTAGCGGTGGAACTGCGCACGATTTATTGAAATAAGTAGGTGTATATTCATATCCTTACCATTGAATATCTTGTGTATTGTCATAGGTGCAGGTGTTATGACATTGTCTATGCTAACTACCCATTTATTGGACTAGCTCTATGTAACTTTGCATTGCTTCGCTTTACTATTTTGTGTATAATAAGGTTAGAGGCAGAGCTCATCCTTGGTGTCTACTGGCTCCTCTCATATCTAAGATCTCGAACACATGCCAAACCATCCACCACAGCTCTGCCCAGTCCATGCACCTGGCTCTGTGGTCTGTAACCACTAGACGCCTAGGCTATGTCTACACTGGTGGGTTCTTGCTCAAGAATGGCTGTTCTTGCGCAAGAACCCACAGAGCGTCCACACTGCCCGCTCGCTCTTGCACAAGATGATTTACAGTACGACATGGTAAAAGAGGGCTTCTTGCGCAAGAGCTGCACTCTTTTCTAACAGGTGTAAGCCCTCTTGCACAGGAGCTCTTGCTCAAGAGGGCAGTGTGGACGCGCGGCCAGGGTTTCTTGCGCTAGAAACCCCTATGGCTAAAATGGCCATCAGAACTTTCTTGCGCAAGAGAGTGTCCACACTGCCATGGACGCTCTTGCGCAAAAGCACTTGGCAGTGTAGATGTGTTCTTGCTCAAGAACCCACCAGTGTAGACATAGCCCTACACACCCTCACTCCTAGTCCATCCCCTCTCCCACTATAACCCACTCCCTTCCAAGAATGGGAGAGACCCCCGAGCCCCTGACTCACAGCTCACTCCAGCTCTAACCACTAGACTACCAGCCATGCCTTGAGCTGAGGCTAGAAGCCAGGAGGCCAAATATTGTCACAAACAGGCAGGTGGGCGTGAGAGAGCTTCCCCCACCTCCAAGCTAGCTGCACTACACAGAGGAAAATAACCTACTTCTGCAAGGCCTTTAGCTGAAGAGGCCGAGGCGGGGCTGTGGCTGTGAATGTTGTTAGGTCGGTGCCGAGTGATGACCCAGCTGGGTCCAAGCTCTGGAAAGGCGACCTGCCAGGAGCAGCGTTACCGGCTCCCGTTAGCCTGGCACTTCCTCCACGGTGAGTGCATGAATAGCCCCCCTCTCCAGCCCCATAACCTTGCTCTGTCTAGCCCCACACATGCCCCTCTCTATAGCTATCCTCTGACACACACCCTCACCACAGAGCTACCCCCCGATCTGGCCACCCATTTCCCCCCCACACTCCCCTAGCCCTGGCCCACCATTGCTTCCCCAGCCCAGCTAGCACAGGCTCATAGACTTCAAGGCCAGAAGGGGCCAGCGTGCTCAGCCGGTCGTCGCAAGCCACAGCCCTTCCCCGGTCGCTCCCATGGGAGGCCCAGCATCCCTGGCTGAGTTACCACAGGCCCAGCCTCACGGCGAGATTGAAACCGCCCAGCATCCCCCCTCCCCACCATGAGCCTTGCCAGCCCTTTGCACTGCTCTGAATGCCACCCCTCCAGCCCCTGCTCCAGTGGGCTGGTAAATTAAACTCCACTCCAGGGGCCCCCCAGCTCTTCACGGGCGGCTGGTGCCCCTCAGGCGTCTGCGCTGAGACGCCGCAGCCACAGGGAGCAGCCATGTGTAGAGAGCGCCTGCCTCCCATCGCTACTGGCAACGGCCTTTATTCCAGTAGGGAGATGGGGGCCTTGTCCCTGACGGGCGGCTCTGCTTTAGCCCTAGGGCCGTGGGGACTGCTTGGTTGGCTCAGGGCGGTGGGGATTGGGACATGGAGGCCTGCCCTCTCTAGAGGGCACCAGCGCCACTGCAGCCCCCAGCCCCATGCGCAGGTCACTTGCCCCAGGCTGGCAGTCGGCACAGGGGTGCTAACACAGCACCCAGCTCTAGTAATGCTGCAGCCCAGCAGGCTCCCCGACGGCTCACGCTGCAGAGACCAGTGTTTCTGGATTGCCAGGGTCGTGGTGCCAAGTCCTGGCTGTGTCAGCAACTCCCCTGTTTGCCAGCTTCCCGTGCCCTTCCCTGGCCTGGCGGGCCTTGTCAGGCAGCAGCAACACCCAGTCAGTAACATGCCCAATGCACCATGCACTCAGGGAAGTTGTGAGTCAGGGGCACTTTCCCAAAGTCATTGGGTCCCTCACCTGGTGCACAGCTGCAGCCTCCTCTGGGGTGGAGCACAGAGGCTGTATATACACAGAGCCCTTGCCCCCTGCTGACACAGCTGCCTTGTTCCCTTTAATTGTGGGAAGGGAATAGGGGTTAGAGCACTGGTCTGGGGCATGGGTGTCCATGCCAGGAGTGACGTGGGGCCTACTGGCTTAGTGCGGTGGGGGGAGGAGGGTCATAGTTTGTGGCACGTGGGTAGGGGAGGGAGCAACCATACCATGTGTTCCCATAGACAAGACTTAGCTGGAGGGGGCAGTTGTGGGGCAGGAGGGTGAGCACTGGGAGAGCCGAAGGGGGACCCAGGGCTGGGGTAGCAGCAGGGGGCTGCTGGATAGTAATGAGGAGCACTGCTCAGAGCTGGTTCAATTCCCTGATTTTAATAGTCACAAACAGACAAAGACACGAACTCACAATGACTAAAACTGGCTCGTCTCCCACAGCCAAACTGAATGCGCCCCCGGCCCTGGCAGCCCAAGCCAGGCCATGCAGGGGGTGAGGGAAAGGACAGATGCAGTTAGAGCAGCCCAGCTGAGTGGGGTGAGGGGTCTCCGCTGCCTGCAGGGGAGGAAGCTCCTCCCCAAGCTGGAAACAGGGCCCTCTGCCCATCCTCTTGGCACGGGGGGTGGGCAGAGTCCCCCACTCCCAGGTTTAAAGGGATGGAAGTTAGTATGTTGGGGGCAGGGTATGTGCTGGGTCTTCCTGCTACAGTTATGATGGATCCACAAAGGTGCAGATGGGGGGTAATACAGCCCAGCTTGTTATATGTGGGGTGCAGCAGCCCCCTGGGAGGCCATTGGTGGGGCCCTCTGACCTGGGGTCTCTGCTACAACACCCACTCACAGTGAGCAGGTGGGGGTCTGCAATTGTCTGGATCCTGGACCCCCAAATCCAGGTGTTCTGTGGTGTGTAAAGGTGTGGGAGAGGCGCAGGCAGGGGGAGGGGGATCTGGTCAGGAGGGGCTCCACCAATCAGTCTGAGGCACAGAAAGGGGGGCACCAGCTGTCCAGGTTAGTGTCAGCTGCAATCGGGGGAGGTGGGGCCTGGCGAACTGGTGCTATAGAAATAGAGGCTCCCCCCCCCAATTGCTAGATGCGTCCAAGGTCTCCACCCTGAGTGGAAGCCAGTGCCAGATTTGAAGGGCAGGCAGCTTGCTCCCAGGTGTGGCTGGCGCCCTGGCGAGGATTGTGCACTGCCCTGGCTCCCTTCTCAGGCCCCCAGCACAGGGCTCCAGTCAGCCAGGGAGCCTCCCGGGTGGGGACAGCTGGGATTTGTAACAAACCCCTTTGCCAAAGCAACAGCGGCCCAGGAGCAGCCCGCACTTCACATGGGAACAGCCGGGGCTCCAGCCAACGAGGCCGGGGAAATCCAGGCCAGAACAGTCCTGCTGGGAGCAGTGGGGGCAGGGAATGGAGCCACCCCTGGGTTCTCCCTGAGTGTGAGTGGTGGGGGTGAGGATGGGCTGGAACAGCACCGAGGTGGAGCCGAGGGAGGTAAATGCACCTGCTGACCGGCTCCCCTCAGGGAAGAGCAATAGCAAAAAGTCCTTCCTGCCCGCCCGGCCTGTGGGCAAAGGGCCTTGGGGCACTGGCAGAACCAGCCCAGGGAGGGTGTGGGGCACCACGTGGCCCACAGAAGGGAGCTGCCCCCACTTCTCCTGAGGCTTGGGGGAAGGAGCAGTGCAAAGTCAGTGCCTGGGGATTGCTGGCTGCCCCAGAGAGCAGGGGTAGCATTGGGGACTTCTCCATAGGAGGTGGGAGCTTCTTCGGAGCATTTGCCACTTGCTGCCCATGTCCCCGGTCACTTTGGGGAGGGACCGGATGTGTCCGGTCTCCAGGAAGCAGGGCTCAGTCACTGACCCTGCCCCAGTGTTGGGTCTCTGGCCCCCGTACTGGGTGCTCTCCAGGGGGCGCCGTGGCCCAGGCACTGGGTGCTCTGCAGGGGGCACTGTGGCCCAGGCACTGAGTGTTCTGCAGGGGGCACCATGACCCAGATGCTGGGTGCTCTGCAGGGGCGCCGTGGCCCAGGCGCTGGGTGCTCTGCAGGGGGCCCATGACCCAGATGCTGGGTGCTCTGCAGGGGCGCCGTGGCCCAGGCGCTGGGTGCTCTGCAGGGGGCCCATGACCCAGATGCTGGGTGCTCTGCAGGGGCACTGTGGCCAAGGGGCTGGGTGCTCTGCAGGGGGCCATGACCCAGATGCTGGGTGCTCTGCAGGGGCACTGTGGCCAAGGGGCTGGGTGCTCTGCAGGGGGCCATGACCCAGATGCTGGGTGCTCTGCAGGGGCACTGTGGCCAAGGGGCTGGGTGCTCTGCAGGGGGCCATGACCCAGATGCTGGGTGCTCTGCAGGGGCACTGTGGCCAAGGGGCTGGGTGCTCTGCAGGGGGCCATGACCCAGATGCTGGGTGCTCTGCAGGGGCACTGTGGCCAAGGGGCTGGGTGCTCTGCAGGGGGCCATGACCCAGATGCTGGGTGCTCTGCAGGGGGCGCCGTGGCCCAGGCGCTGGGTGCTCTGCAGGGGGCCCATGACCCAGATGCTGGGTGCTCTGCAGGGGCGCCGTGGCCCAGGCACTGAGTGTTCTGCAGGGGGCGCCATGACCCAGATGCTGGATGCTCTGCAGGGGGCGCTGTGGCCCAGGCACTGAGTGTTCTGCAGGGGGTGCCGCCTCACAGGTGCGGGGTGCTCGGCAGCAGGGTGGGGAGGGCGCTGTGCAGGGAGGCAGCTGTCTTGCGCGAGGCCTTGCGCAGCAGGGGGCTGTTGGGGTGTTGCTCCCGCAGATGGAGCAGGTGGCTTTCCTGGCTGTCGGCTGTGCAGCCGCACTCCTCGCACACGTACAGCTTGGCCCGCCGCTCTTTGTAGGCGTAGCGCTGCTGCACCCCATGGATCTTCTTCAGGTGTGACTCCAGCGAGCAGCGCTGCGTGAAGGCCTTGTCACACAGGTTGCACTTGTATGGGCGCACGCCTGGAGGGAGGGAAGGGTTAGCGCTCCCTGTGCTGAGTCACCCCCCACGTCTGCCGTCACCCCTCCCCGGATCCCACCTGCCAGCCCCCCAAACCCTGCTGCTCAGGAACCCCACAACCCTCCTGGTGTGTGCAGGCAGGCAGACACAGCACCTCCCATTCTACTAGAGCAGAGGCTGGTGGGGTAAGAAATCCCCCCAGACCATAGGTCTAGGGGTAAGGGATGGGGTCTGTTGCCAGGGCTCACCTGCGCCAGTGCTGAGGCAGGGCTGGTGGGGACAGGTCCCGGGGGGGTCAGGGCTCTCAGCTGTGGCAGTGCTGGGGTGGGGCTAGTGGGAGTGGGCCTGGCAGAGGTGTGTCCCAGCGGAGGTGGGGCTGGCAGGGGCGTGTCCCAGAGGGGGCGGGGCTGGAAGGGGTATGTCCCAGAGGGGGCAGGGATGGCAGGGGCGAATCCCAGCGGGGATGGCAGGGGTGTGTCCCAGTGGGGCTGGCAGGGGCGTGTCCCAGAGGGGGCGGGGCTGGAAGGGGTATGTCCCAGAGGGGGCAGGGATGGCAGGGGCGAATCCCAGCGGGGATGGCAGGGGTGTGTCCCAGTGGGGCTGGCAGGGGCGTGTCCCAGTGGGGCTGGCAGGGGCGTGTCCCAGTGGGGCTGGCAGGGGCGTGTCCAGGGGACGGGGCTCTCACCTGTGTGGGTGCGGACGTGGCGCTTCAGGTCAAAGGTGTCGTTGAAGCCCTTCCCGCAGTAGGGGCAGAGGTGGCGCTTGACCTCACTGTGGCACTTGAGGTGCCGGTTGAGCATGCGCTGGTAGCTGAAGCCCTTCTGGCACACGGGGCAGGAGAACAGCTCGCCTGGCCCCTCGCCCAGCGTCACCTACCGGGGTGGGGATGGAGCTGTCAGACATGAAGCCCACAGGGGGGGCAGTGATGGGGCTTTCTCTCCTCTCCCAGGCCCAGAGGCACCAGCAGCTGCAGCAGCCCTGGAGAGCCCCTCCCAAGTCCAGCTCCTTCACTGCCCCAGTCTCCTGCCCACAACATCCCCCTCCCTGGACACTCCAGACAGGGATCCGCTCTCCCCTCCCACAAACCCCCCCCACAGCACCATGGGGCAGCTGGGTAGTGCGATCGAGGGCCATTGGCAGACGTGTGTGGGCGAGGAGCCAAGGCTGGGACAGCAGAGCCACTGGGCATTGGGATCGAGGGGCATAAGGCCAGGAGCTCATGGCCATGCTCATGCCTCCCTTGTGCTCAGCCATGCTGCGATAGGCAAGAAGGGGATTCTCTGGCGAGGCTGCTGGGCACAGATAGATTCTGGGGTTCTTCTGGGCTCCCAGCCTGCACAGCCCAGACTGGCCACACGGGGGTGCTATGGAAGAGCCCCACGGACTCCCCTGGCCCTCAGTCCATACCTTCATTTTGGGGCGCAGGTACCCATTGTGCTGTCCAGTGGGGGGTGCCTCCCCAGAGAGCTGGGCAGTCGTGTAGCTGGAGTTGCGCAGGGTCATGTCCAGGGGCATTGGATATGAGGGAGATTCAGCCACCGAAGGCACCAAGTCCTTTGCCAGGGCACAGCCCCCCAAGCAGACTAGGAGAAAGTACAGGAGGGGATTATGGGTTTGCTCCCTAAGATCTAGGGGGGGTACAAGCAATGGAGGGTGGGAGTCAGACCTGTCCCTCCAGGGCCACACAGGAGATGAGCCCAGGGCTCTGCATGGCCCCATAAGCTTGTAAACCCCCCACCCCACCAGTGGGCCTTACCCACCATCCTGCCAACCCACACTGCATGCAACGGGGGTAGTTTCCGGGGGTCCTCCTTCTCCCAGCAAGCTCTCCACCCCACCCTCACCTGCAGCATTCACTGTCCCCCATCAAGTGGAGTCATGCCATTGATTTGCCCACACTTTCTGGACCAGCAGGTACCTGGCACTGACCCCCCCTGGAGCAGCTCTAGACCCTGTGACAGCTGGCAGCCACAGACTGGGGAGAGGTGTGCCCTAGCAGCCTGAAGAGAGCAGGAAACTGGGCCCAGGCCAGGGCAACACAGAAGGAACCCCCCCCACCCATTCCAGTTCCCAGTCTCCTGAGCCAGCTAATCCTCCAGCTCTGGGCTAGATCAGAGCCAGCGCCCTGTAGAGGGGAACCAGACTGAAGCCAGTGCCCCCAGAGGGGAACCTCCCCGTACCCTATTGCCTAGCACTGCAGTAAACAAGCCCCTGGAACCGGTTCCCCGGGGTGTTATTGAAAAGTTCGGCCCAGCCCAGGCACTTAATTGAGCATATCCGGATGGGAGTCACCTGCCCCTAGGCCAGCTGGGAGGTGGGGAGGGGGCAGAACTAGTCCAGCTAGTCACCCCAGTATGCCCCTCCCAAAGCACACGGCAGAACCTCAATGCATCCCCCTAGCCCTGCTTCCCCTGCCCTGCCGCCCCTTCTCTCATGCTCTCTTAACTCGGTTATACTTTGGGCCTTCACAACTTCCCCTGGCAATGAGTTCCGCAGGCGGACTGTGTGCTCTGCACAGTAATGCTTCCTTCGGATTGTTTTAAGCCTGCTGCCTCTTACTGTCCTTGAGTGAGCCGTGATTCTGTGTTACAGGGACGGGGCAAATAAATCATGGTTTTATAGACTTCTATCACACACACACCCCTAGTTATCTCTTAGGTTTTTTTCTAAACTGAACAGACACTGGCTTGTTAATCTCGCCTCAGAGGGAAGCTGTTTCACCCCCCTCCCTCAGCATTTCATTGGCTTTCTCTGTACCGGTACCAACTCTAACGTACCTCTTTTGAGCTGTGGGTGCCCAGAATGGCCGTGGTATTGGGGAGGGGGGCACCCCAGGGCTTTCTATTGCAGGATTATGGTATTTTCTGACCCAGCTCTTTC